AGCTGTACTGCGCCTGCTGTGCGAATGCAGCTCAACTGAGCAGGCTACAGACCCACTGAACAAAGTTGGCCATTTTCTGCGCCACGAAACTGAAACAAATACTGAGGATACATTCAGTGGTGACTAATGCAAAGGTCAGGGTTCTCTGACTGCAGCTATTGGCTTTGCAAGCTCAGCCACTGCAGTCCTTTGGGAACGCTGCCTCGTGAGCTACCTGTTTTTAACAAAGTCCCACGGGCAGTTATGGAAGAAGCCGCTGGAAGTGTTCAAGGCCAGGCTGGATGAGGCTTTGAGCAACCTGGTCTAGTGGAAGGTGTCCCTGCCCATGGCAGGGGGGTTGGAACTAGATGATCTTTAAGGTCCCTTCCAACCCAAAACATTCTGTGATTCTACTAGCTTGCTCTTACTGTCTGAGCTGGGGTTTCCAAAATGAAACCCCAACAGGCAGCTACAGAAAATCTGGGCTTGGGGGTTATGAACAGACAAAGATGTGGGGTAGTGGGGCTGAGGGGTCGGAGGTAGTGGAAGGGGTTCAGGAAAGGTGAGGGAAAGAAGGGAAGGCACAGGAGGCAGGCTTACCTATACAGAGGGTGGCAAGCACTCTGTCAAAAATTAATGCCCTGTTTTGTCACCCATGATTAGAGCAGGAGAAAATACTCAAGCCAGGAAACAGAGACAGCAACAGTAACACAGCTGCGGGCAGTTCCAAGCTCTTGCAATAAACAAGGAAGATGAGGAATTTGTGCTGCTCCACTAAAGTTTGCAACAGATACTGATATTCTCAAGGATATATTTCCCCCCTGAGATCTATAAACTCATTGTCTGATTCTCTGAGAAATGCCATGCAGAACTGTGGCACAGAATTCTCTCCCTGAGAGAGATTTCAAACCTCAGGCAAGAAAGTACAGTGGTCAGCCAGCACTTGGTAAATCTGACCCAACGCGGTCCTCTCCGCTGGCTGCTGATACAAAGCAAGAGCATCGATCTGGCACCAGAAGGGGCAGCTGCCTTTGAGAACAAGAGGTACAGCAGTAACACTAACAAAGGAGGTAAGGATGATGCTGCATTGAACCCAGTGTCATCCCTAACACAGTCCAGACTCCAAATGCACAAACCTATTATATGCCAAGTTTCCAGCACATGCAGGATTAAACATGGTTATCAAGATCTGTGCTCTTCTGTCCTGACAAAGGGGCAACATGCATCTATCTTGTACGGACAAAGCTGAAAATCTCGTTATTGCACAATTGCGGTATCAGTTGGGCTCTGCGGACAGAAGCCACAGTACCTCGGTCTCCCTGCGGCTCTTAAACATCAGCTTCAGTGGCAGGAACAAAAGAATTGAGGAATTCCCCTTTTTCAAGGGTATGTAACAGGGAGTGAAATTTTCAAACGGGTAACCCACAAGTTACTGTTTGTGAAAATAAAGAAATGAATAAACCCTTTAATACAACAGGATGGTAAATGATGTGTGAACACCACATCCTGCCACTGCCGGGGCAGACAAGGACACTCCCCAGGGCTGCCGGGAAAGAGGGGCACCAGCCTGGCCAAGGGCAGCAGCACTCTCAGCACAGACTTTGGCCTCCCCA